AAATACATCAGGTTGATATCTGATTTTGATGAAATGGTAAGATGCTAACTGTGAGTACTCAGCACCACAGAATAGCAGGGGTAAAATGTTTTACCATGGGGATCTAAAATAAAGGACAACCAATAGCATAGTACAGCTAAGTTCTGGACTACATTATTATATTTACTAAGCTAAAAACTATTCAGATTCAGTACAGTTTTAATCACTGCAGTAATTATGCCAGATTCATAGTGTCCTTTTGAAGTTGTCTATTTAAAGAGTGTTTCCACATTTACCAAACACAAATGTTGATTTAAATTTTTCTACAGAAAATTATACTTGACTTAAAGTAATCTATCCAAGCCTAATCAGTTCAAGTGCCCAAAGCAGGCATGACAGAACAAGTTTTGTAGGATCAGTGTCCTTTAACTCAGAAAATCTAGAACTACTTATCAGAGGAGCAATAGATCTCAGTCCAAACCAAATTCTCTCAAAGTCATTAGATAATTTATTCCCCAGAGAATATTCATTAGTGTTGTGAAATTGATGTTGTTTATGGAGAGATAATTGCATTACTTGTAAATTAGATTTCAATTCTCCTGCATAAATGTACCATACAGTTTCCCATTTCCTTTCATATATTATATATTCCATAAAAGAAATATATCTTAACTAGCATGTTTTTCTCCTCATTTCCCATCACTTGAAATTACTTTAAAGGTTTGTTTGATAAAGATGAAGAAATTCAGTCCCAGTGGAATACTGGTGGTTTCAGACCAGAGCATGCACTAGTATATGTACCAGAAGATCTACCAGGCTCATGCTGTTAGACTTACTGCCTTCAGTTCTGAATTCCAACCCAGTGGCTTTGATGGCAGCTATCATATCTCCAGTTTAACTACAGAGTTTTTGAACATGGAAAATGGAAGAGTTCTTCTAACTTGACACAAGCTAAACAGATCTGTAGGAGGTCAAAGACACAGCAGAAGCAAAGCAGGTCCTTGACAAATTCATGTCCTTTCCAGAGCACTGATTCAATATTGCAGACATTTTTCCTCACATTTTGCTTTCACACATAACCAAACTAGACAGTTTCCTAAATTAACAAATTCTATTGTGTCTATAGTGTAATTACAACCATCACCACAATCAACTACTTTAAACTCTGTAACCAACTTCATAAATGTAGAGAGTCAATGTAATTCAGGCTCTACACTCAACCAGAATGCAACTTCCAGGAAAAATACATCAATAAAATAAATAAAATGGCAAATTCAATTATTTATTTCTTTTGTGATGGGTTATTTTGGAATAAAACTGCACAATCTATTGTGATCATCGATATTATAGCACTGTTTTTTAAAAAGAAAAATTGAACACTCTAAATTTAGCTTGATATTTTGAAAAGAAGCAATATTTTATGCCATTTAGTATGATCTAATGTTTGGCCACTGAATGGATGTCATTCTATCTACTCAAATTCATAAATATTAAAGCTTTTAAACTATGAATTCCTTTTTATCAACTATATTTGAAATTAATTATGTTATTAAATGACTTAAGACTCATAATAGTCCCATCCCTGCTGAGCAAAAAAGGGAAGAATTCAATTAAATTACTGAGTATTTAATGATACACAGGTGACTTTCAGTCTGTAGCAAGATAAGGAAACAAAATTGACAGTCAGTGTCACAACACACCATTAAACCAAGTGCTTCAGTGTCAAAAGAGGAATGGCCACATTGATTCTCCTCTCATTTGGCAAGACTAACAGCAGGAGAGGAGAGGTAAAGCATTGATGATGTAAGTTAATACTAACATACACAACAGCCTTCCTCCCAATCAGCTGCATTTATTTATCTAAATTTTAAAGCATCTTGCAGTGACTGTCTTGTTTTGTCAAACAGATTTCTACCCTGGGGGGAGTAGGGGTAAAACTTACAATATGATAGCTAATAGCACATAAAAGCCTAAAGCAGGGAGAAGACTGGGAGGAAAGAAGGAACATATAAGCATTTAAATGTAAAAACTATAATTATTTTATAGTGTATAAAAAGGTACTAATGTTAAAGTCTGCATAAAATGACCTGATAAAAGACTACTATGTAAAACCAAAAACACAAGAAAATTTACACAGTTGTGTTTCTAACTTAGATGTGGCAAATTTCAGTTTTTCAGTCTCAGAGATCTGAGGGGAGGAATGGGAGCCTTTTGTATGAATGTAGACAGGACACGGATAAAAGAATCAAGGAACATTATCTTTGCTGAAGAAAAACCCCTCAAATGCTAGCATCCATGCACTCAGTAATTTGACTTTGTTAGGGAACAACAGCAGATTATTTTTGATACCTTAAGAACAGAGTCATTCATTCACAGTCATGTAGCAAATAAATTATGCTGAGGAAAGAACTAAGTCTGAAAAAAGCTACAGACCATAATACTTTGGGGACAAAAGGTTGGTGTGCAAACAATCTGTTATGCCCATCTCTAAGCAGACAGAGCAGAGCAGCAGCCTCCAAAGCCTTTACATCAAAACATTTTTATATGCAGGAAAAAAAGTCACAAATATTTTAACTTCAGTCATTGCCTACTGCCTTTTGAGTACATCTAGCTTCCCAAAAAGCTGAAAACACACTGCAGTGAACCAAATCCTGTCATCTTTACAAGTCTGAAACAATAGCTGAAAACATGATAGCTTACTCTGTCCTTGGTACTAAAGACTTTGCAGGGCAGGAAAATACAGGGTTGACAGGAAGAAGAAAAGACATAAGATACTATCTATCCTCCTTCTCCACCCTCAATTTAGATTTTAACTAAGTCAGGTTATATACAGTAGCAGAAAACTATACAGTCTTGTAGTACTCTCTGCACAACTCTTCCTTTTGCTTTTATCCTACCAGTCCCACTCTCACTGACACAGTCTCAAATTTTATCCACTGCCTGCCACACCTTGTATTTTACTTCGCTAATCTGCTTATTATCAAATTCAAAATACAGGGGGTACAGGAGCGTGGATTCGGTGCAACAAATGGTTAAGTAAAAAAAGGAATGGAAAAGGAAATTGTACTTATTTAATAAATGCATAAATTGGCAAACACCAAGGAAGAGCCACTTCTAATCTTCAATAACAAGAGGACATTACCTTCCCTCTTTTCTCCAGTTTGGCAACAATACTGTTGTTCCTGCACAAATAAAAATGCCTTTCTAGCCTATATGACTTGAAGCTGAGTATTGCCTCACTCATAGTGCAAAAGGAAAGCCTGAAGGTTGTCTGCTCTATTCCCCTTCTAAACAACATTGTGGGACCTTACTATGATAGCACCAGGCAGCCACATCAGAAAACAATGCAGCACTGGAGCAGAGCAGAAAATTCTGAATGCTTAATACTTTATACTGGTCATTCTTTGAGTCCACAACAGGAAAATATTTGCCTAATAATTTGCCAAGGTTTTTTATTTAGTAGTAGTTTGCCATATTATTGCCCTGAGTCAACCACAAGTAGAGCACTGTAATACTATCACCTCACATTACTCTGCAATGTTCATAGACGAGTATATGAATTTACTCCAGCTATTTAACAGTATTTTATTCTGTAGTTGGTAAGAAATTATCCAACATGCAAAATTTAACTTCTTGGTTTATAAAATGCTTAAATTACAACAAAAAACAGTAGCTTAAAGTCCTTTAAAAATACCACAAAATACAGCTGGAAGTGTGCAGTCAAAGAGAACTCCTTCCAGACCTTTCACTCTCTAATTTCAATGCTGTGAACATCAGTATTTTTTAATGCACCCATGGTACTTTTCATTTCTTTGTTCTTGGGAACTACTGGTAGAAAAATACATTAAATTGTGTGGCATAATAATGTCCACCCACACTTCCGTAACCCACTGCACTCTTGGGATAACCACCAAGGCAGTGACCCTGGTCTCTCCTCTGAAATACACAATATGGACAAACCTGTGATAGCCCTTAAAGGCAGCAGCCACCAAAACCATCATTAGTACATTGGCATGCCTGACAATTTATTCTGGGAAGCCCTAGTCTAATACAGCTCTCATAATACATGCACCAAACTGTGCTGGATCACAGGCAACACTGCTTTTATATTTCATCTCAGCTGTCAGAGCACATACACTACATCTGCTAACAGTGAGGAATACGATAAAACTCTAGATCAATAATCTATCCAAGCTTCAGCCTAACAAACTTACCGTTGATCTACACTTGTATGGAAGTGCCAAAAAACAATGGACTCATGTTTCTAATCTACAAGTCCATGTGAACCATAATATTCTGCAGCAGAAAATGTCTCCAGCTACTTTTCTCATTTAAAATTGAACTAAGCATATAAATTATAAAAAAGATGTGAAGAAAAAATTCTAATCAAATTTCTAAACAAATTTTCAAATCTGTAAGTTAGCACTAAGATAAAAAATAAATGTTTGCTTAGACATAGGAGAATCTTTAAGTAAATTCTTATTGTGGCCTTCTTAGGCTAACTTGCAGCAAAAAGAAACGGTTAATTTTAATATGCAGCTCTACAACTGCCTTAAAATAATGGTATGGTTGCTGAAGAATGAAGTCTTATTGATCTGACTTATTGTGCAGATCACCACTGATAACACAGGAGACAACAGAAACGTGGCTGGGGAAACACCAGCCTTTAATTTAAATACACACAGAACACTTGAAACACAACTAAAATATACCATTTGCAGACAATTCGCTTATGAGGAGGCAGGGAATTACATCAATCTAATTATGCCAGAGCAAGAGGGTGTCTGTGCATGCTCACGGACAAAATTTGGAAAATTAATCATATATTCCTGTGCACAATATCCTTTCTTACATAGATTCACAGTCTTCTTCTCCCTTAGAGGTAATAGGAAAAAAAAACAACTAAAAAGGAAACTAGTGAATTTAGTGAAAGGAACATGGAACAAATGAGTTTCTTCCCAAAAGGACAACACTATTTTCATGGCAGGGTTATCAGGTTCATTTACTGCTGAGTGCCATACCTGTTGAAGTTAATGTCTGGATAACTGGAATACTCAGACTTCATCTTCGCATTGCGACGTGGAAAAGTACAGAAGAAAGCATTGGCCAGAAAACTGGCGATCTGTTCCTGTGACATTGTGATGGAGTGATTCATCTTTTGTTTCAGCAGAGGTATTGGCTACCAAGAAAAGAAATGAGGGGGAGGAAGGGGCAGGGGAGAAAGGAGGGAAGGAGAGAGAAGAATAATTAGCTTACCCTTTTTGAAAGAAAAAACAGAAGCACAAAATTACATTTGTTATATCAGAGCAAGAGTAATTTAGGCCATTGGTACAGCCTTTAATCAGCAGCACCGTTAAAGTCAAGAACAGTTTATTCAAGACAATTCAGAAAGGGGTTGCCTGGCCAACTGCAGATTTCTAATCAATAATAAAAAGATCAGGAAAACACAATTTAACAAACAAAACCATCAGGAATGCAGAGGGGGGAAAAACAGATGGGATGTTGCAAATCCTGGGCAATGTTAAAATCTGAAATAAAAATCCACTTTAAATAGCTGCATAGTTAAGAACCCTTAGGGAACACTTTCAGCTACAATAACCATGTTTTGAATTTTACACAGAAACATGGAAGTCATGCCACAGATCATAACTCTATGACTTGCTTTGAACCTTTTTTCCCTACTTGAAGAAATAACACTGATGGTGTTTGTAGAAAGTGTGTAATTATTCGTTCTTCTATAATCAGAATGAACAAAAAGCTTAGCTTCACTTTGGTCTTCAGTTTGAAGTTTTATTTTACACTGGTCAGGGCTTCCTTAATATAAAAAGAAATAAAGGGGCAGAGGGAAGAAAGAACTCCCCAACTTGAAGCATTAGATACCTTTCATTTTATCAGACATTAGCCTTCTGATTTTGAGCTTTGGCTCACAACATCCATGGTATTTTATTAATTATGTGACAATATGGAGCATAGCAGGGGTACATAATTCTGACTGCTGAGTCCAGTAACCACTACGAGAAACCCATTTGACAGGAGAAAGAGAACACAGTTTTCACCTTCTTCAAAAATTCTCAGCCATCATAATTAGCTGAGCTCCAGTACAGCTTCATTTTCATCCTTCTAGCTCTGAATACAGAAACTGCTGTTGATTTAGACCATTGAATACACAGCTCTGTTTACTCCAGAAAGCAAATAAGTTTTCCTTCATTCTTATAACTACTACATTCACATTCACTGAATCTCATTCTGTCTTCTGGCTATTTAATTAACAAGCTATATTATGATGTCTGAAGTTATAGAGCTAGAGGGGGAGAGACGCCTGACAAGCTCACTCTAATAAGTTCTAGAAACCTATAAAAACAGAATATTTTGGATAGTGTTGTACTGGAACAAATTTATCTTTATGTCTAACCAAAAATTGAGTCTGACAGAGATCTTCACAATTTACATTGCCAAGCAGTACGTGATCTCCTAAAGTCTTGCAAGTCTTGTGCTTTACTTGTGTTTAGAAACTTCATGGCATTTTCAAACAACTTCCCTCATTGAGCTACCAGCAAAAAAAAAAATGTAAGAAATATTCATAGATTGAAATTACATATCTACTTCAGGGCCCTTGCAGCATAAAAAGTAGAGGAAGATTTTCCCTGCTTATTCCCAACAGAAGCAATTTAGAAAATGGTAACAAAGGAGTTGACAAATCGTTGTCACCCTACTAATATGTTACCTATCATGCATCTTCACTTGACCAGCCCTACTCACTTTCATCAGCTTCACTCCTTACAGAACTAAGTCCTATAGCATTAATACAGAATTAGTTAAGGTTTGTATGTGTGCAAGTATTACATGCTCTAAACGGAATAAAGTATGTTCCCAACTAAATGAAAGCTTTATCAAAATACCACTTCTAAGATTAAAAAAATTCCAAAATTAAAAATTAGATCTGATTGAAATAAAAAAATTGAATCAGATTATTCAGTGGTTCCAGTTTCTAAGCGTGATTTTAGAACCTCATTTGTTGCATGGTCATTTCATTTAAAAAATGCAAGAAGCCACTTCAGCATATAGAAAGTTACTGAAGTTCAGGCTAAAACTATGACAGTGAGTTTTACTTTTTTTTCCACATTCTATGGCATAATTCCAGATGTGTATTGTCCATTCTGCTCCCTAGGTCTCATCTACCTTTAAGAAAAAAATTACAGCTTTTATTAAGAACATAACATGATATGACCCTGATGTTTTTACCTTAGCCATCAGCTGCAGTTTGCAGAGAAGTGCTCTGCCACAGAGCACCTGCTAGCTGTGTTTTCTTACCTGGGTGCAGATACTAGGGAGACAGAGTGCCAGCTTGACCATATCAGGAAGAATGGACTGGAACAGATGTTGAGCCTCTGCATCTTCAAGAACCTGTTAAAAATAAAGAAGGACAAAAAAAGCTTTTTACCTCACAAATAACAACTGAATTAAAAGTTTGTGAAAATGGGACCCATGCAAAAGAAATGAGAAAATAAAGAGGCCCTCTTAGCTTCATGCCAAATCTCTAACATTTTCACAATAGTGCCTCACTGAGTTTACCTTGCAAAAATACACTGAGATATAGAAACACGTCTCAAAAGCTGCAGTTAAGAAAACATGTCACCAAGTGTCTTTTACAGTAAGCTTGAATATGTTACCATTTTACTATTTTCAAGGCAATGAACCAAATTTTCAACTGAAAAATCACTACCTGACCACAGAAGTACTGAAATTATTTACTCAAATTTCATATTCAGGTCATAGTCCAAGACAACTACCTGTGATACCCTCTTATTAAGGACAGATAAAATGCACTTCTGGCTCAGATCAGTGGGCCTCTGCAGCAGCAACAGGAAATCCTATGCAAGAGGATGCAATCCTGGGCATTTCCTGCCATCCATCCCCACCATGTTTCCTCAAGAATTACAGCCATTACATAACAGGTGCAGCCTGCCAGGCCCCACATGCTAAAGCTGCAATCTTCCTCCAGGAAGAGACTATTTCAGCTGTCTCACCCTCTCTTCTAATATACCATCTAAGAAGGGGACACCAGAATTGACAGCACTGAAAACAAACGGGCACATCAATGTTTCACAAGGCTTCTCAAAGCTTTTTTCCCCAAGAACAAGTCACACCAAACCTTTCTTGTCCTGTTCTGAAGTCCCCCCCCTCAACAGTGTCTGGCTCACTGTTGATGTGTTTGGCTGCCAAAGCCTATCAAGCCAATATATTCAGACCAAGTCCAGGATCTCCCTTCCAGTTGCAACTACCAATTATGAGTGCACCATCCCACACCCAGGGTTTAGATGAACCCTCCCACATGCCTATTCATGTATCACACATCTATTTTTCAAAGATGCAAAAATTTCTTTCAGGTGGACAATGCTCTTCTAAGAAAACCTATGATAGGTTTTAAAAAGAAATGCAACATAAAGTGGCACAGTTGCAATATGTGAAGCAGCACAGAAGCCTCAAAACTCTCATAAGTCTGCTGAATGAACAGGCTGAAGGGAGATGTAGAGAAAAGCACATTTCTATGCTGTGGAAGTTTTTCCCATTATCTGTGGATATGGGCATCAGATGTGAGTGCCTGTTAGATTTGGATACTGCATTCAAGGCAAAAAGCAGAGAGAACACACAACTTGCTCTATAGCTGGGGAATGGAAGACAAAGGTCACAGCTCAGTTGTCTGCCTCCCTCCTTCACCACACCCTGCATCCAGGGAATCCGGACTTTCTACTGGTTTCCAGACTAAAATCCTCAAAATTCTGAAATGATGGATTTAAAACTACACAATACTATTTTTCAAGTAACACTTTAAAAATTTATTTGCTACCAGATTTGCACAAAATGAGCTGCAGACAGAACGGATGAAACAGCATGAAGGTATTATCAACTTTAGTCTGTAACACTTAAGGGTAATTGTGAAATCACAGGAAGTGATCTCTTTAGTCATGTTATCAGGGCTTTGTAATTCACATTTCAATGGAAAATTCCACATAGACTTCAGAATATAAAAAGACACTGGCAATTCTCTTGAGAAAAAAATATGGTGCCTCTGACTCAAGATACACTGATCCTCATAAACACCAAAAAATACTGTTCGAAGGCTGACAACTTCTTGTCTTCTGAGATCATTAAAATAACTATAGAAATATATTGGCTCTGTTGTCTCCTGCTCCAAGTAATATAAAGGGATAAGCGTACTCAGGAAGTAAAAAACCAAAACACAAATGCTCAAAGCACAAATTACTTTTTGGGAAAAGGGAGGAAATATAACAATGCCAAGACTTGCACAGTTACTTTCTATGCATTATGTGGGGTACTTGCGGAAGCACAAGAATGAGGGTTTAATATAAAATTTTAAAATTAAAGAAGAACTTACAAAGAACAACAAGCCCAGGAAACATGAAAATCATTTGATATGAGGAAGAATCCAAGTAATAAACAAATTATTTTTGAAAGTAAATTTATTTTTAGGATGGGAAACGAGCAATATGCATCTCTCTCCTGTTGCTGGCTGCATATGCACCTACATTTTTACACAGCATAAGTCAAATCCTGAAAGCTATGACCTAACCTTTAATATTAATCTGCTTTAGCAGGAAACTCTGCTCTGTTCTTAGGCACAATATTTTTAAGTGCCATAAAGTAACCAAATGAGCATTTAAGTCTGGAACTTCAGATCTCAACCCATAAAATGAATACGTAAGTTATAGCTATTTAAAAACTGACATTTAACCCCAGATGTCTACCAGGCTGTCAAATTCTGATATTCTCTTCCCTTCGGGTAACATTTCCTCTCTTCTAGAGCTGACATATAAATAGTGGCTGCTGTGCTTTGCTGACTGCCACAGACTATACAGTATCACTTATCTGGTGACACATTATGGCACCGGACTTTGTCATAGCTGTCAAGACTTCAACCTTTTCTTTATGCTTCTTTGAAAACAACATAATAGTGTGAGACAATTTCTTCTGCAAAACAGAGGCAGACCAGCAATTGCACAGCTCAGCTCTGATGCAGAATACTTAATTATAAAGGCCACTTGTACTCTGAAATCCTACTTTTGCTTCTTCTTACCTTCCTAATGACGTACTAGAGTATGCTTTCTTTTCTACAGTATTTCTATGTAATGAGTTTTACTAGATCTCCACTAATGAAAAAAATCAACATTTAAGGTTACTATTGCCCCAAAGTGTTCTCATTTACTTCTGATTACTCTTACATGTGAATGAAGTGAATTTTGAAAAGAGTTTTGGGTGCCATGAAGACCCCACAACTTCAAATATATGATTGCACAGTTCACAGACCTTGTCAAGAAACTGCTAACTCAGCATTGCTCTCTATCAAATGGTCACATCCATGTAATTAAAGCTTACCCTATCTGCCCATACACTCTTCCTGTACAGGTAACATTCCTTTGAGGTTTCTGTGAAAAAGAACACCTGTAAATCCCTGGCTGCTTGGCCCTCAGACTCTTCTGACCACTCACCCCACACACCATAACAGGTGCAGCTTTGCACATCTACCACTGCCACTGTATATTCTCAGCTATGCTGAATGAAACACAGAGCCTGGTGTTACCTGTGACAGCCTTTTCAGGCTTTGAAAGCAGCAAAAAAGAAACACTCAGTCATGAAAAGTAAAAGAATTCCAGGACATGGAGTGCTGACAACACAGCTACATCTGGCAGACATGCCAAAATGCAAATGCCTACCTGGAGAACCTAGCACTGGCAGACAGAACACCTGGCAGAACTGAGGGAAGATTTATTTAGAAGGCAACTCTCTTCAGGAAGCAGTGACTTGTACTGATGTAAAATCCAGATATTTAGATATTTAGATATTTAGAGTGACATTACACATTCTACTTATTTGATGCCACTGAAAGAGGGATGTGTTCACTCTATCCACCCAAACACGCACACACGCCTCCCCCCACACACCACATTTCAGCATTTCCCATGTTCACCTGACAATTTCCTGAGATCCTTCATCTTGCTGATTCTACAGAAAAATAACCTGGAGGTGGGGGTAGTCTGCCCATGCAGTAATAAGTTGAAGAAGCCTACCAAAAAGTCATGTATAATTAGATGTGTGCAGAGTGGGTGTAAGTGAGAAAGAATCAATCATGACCCTTATCGATGGGCTACAAAGGCAGATCTCAGCTGCAATTCTCACTTGAAAAAGCAGGAATGTTCTAGTCAGAATGAAGCTGTTAGAACAAGGACCTCACTTGGAAGTAAATCTACTAGTACAGGAATGTCTGTATGAATTCACTAATGTGCTTTTACGTGTGTACAACTTTTTCAAACAACTCTGCAAACTTTAAGAGAAAGGACTGAGTTTCCATTTTTAAAGGAGCTAACACTTGTTTTATAACTTAAGCAATTCTAAAATATGAAATGGTTGTCAACAAGTTCTTTAAGTACTGTAGCAATTTTTGTTTTAAACAATTGATCAGTTTCTCCTTTCCTTGTTATGCACTGTTGTCCTTTGCAGTTTCCTTCAGTATTTGAAACAAAAACATAAATAGAGTGTTGACTTTATTCAGTGCTCCAATCATGCAAAATATGTAGGAATTAAATACACGCAGGGGTTGTACCTTAAGGGAAAAGTATATGGAGTCAGAGTTGCAAAGCATGACTTGCTCTTTACCAATGAAATAATTTGGCAATTCCATCACTATCTTCACTGGAGTGACTGATTAAATGAACAGAACTTAGGGCTCCAATTCCTAAGATGCAAATTGCTCAGTGAGCCGTAGCAGAGGTACGAGCTCTTGGCCAAACCTGCATTGCAATTTAGCAAAATGAACATTTATCCTGCAGCAAAGAGGCCTGACTAAACACGGCTGTAAGTAATGGCCTCTTGTCACTATAAACCAGTCCTCCAAAACGCAGCGGACGAATATGCCTGACAGACCTAATAAGAAGGATCTGAGGTAGCATGGGGTGATAGTGATGGTAGAGAGTTTAAATCTAAATCTGACAGCTCATCAAAGCAAACAAACTGCACATAGGATACACAAATTTGGACAGCTCCATCTATCACATGGGAAGGCACAGCCATCATGCCAACAGGCAGCCAGCACGTTAAGACAGCAATGACCTAATGCTTTCAATTTGTTTGGTTTTATATCCCCATATTAACTTTTGTGGCAGGACAAGGACCAACTGAACCATATTCTTAAGGATGAAGAGGAAAACCAGAGTGCTTCCTTCAGACTGTGCGTCTCTTATTTCCTAACTCTAATGGATTTTGACCTTCTGACTTTTTACTTCACAGCTGCTATAATGCCTCATGCTCTCAGTGCTCTGAACCATCTACAGTTAATACGCTGAAGTTTCCAGTAATAAGTTTCAAAATTATTTTAATGTAAGATATCA